GATCTTCCAACATGTATTTCACACTCATCCATGCTCCTATTTGCAGACGATTCTAAACTTCAAAGTGTCATCCGTAGCCCGTCTGATTCATTGTCACTCCAGTCTGACATAGACGCATTGGTCTCATGGACTCATTCGAATTCCCTGTTTATCAACCCACGTAAGTGTGCTGTCATGAGATTTTCCTTTAATGAGTGTAGCTCTCCAGTCTACTGTGTGGGTGGTGATCAGATCTCTGTTCCTCTATGTCATCGTGATCTTGGCATAATCGTTTGTGGTGATTTATCATGGGCTAGTCATTATGACTCCATCTGCTCCAAAGCCTACAGTTCTCTGTATTTAATTCGTAGAACTTTCTCTACCTCTCTCAACTGTGTCATCAAAAAGCAGCTATACCTATCTATGGTACGATCCAAGTTGTGTTACGCCTCACAGTTGTGGCGTCCACAGTTAAAGAAGCATATCTTATTATTAGAGAGAGTACAGCGTAGAGCATCGAAGTATGTGTTAGGTGATTATACCTCTTTATACAGAGACAGGTTGATACAGCTCTCCCTATTCCCATTAATGTATTGGCTCGAACTACTTGACATTATGTATCTTGTTAAGTCTCTCAAGTTCCCATCGGACAACATGTCCATACTGGAATTCGTCTCATTCAATGATTCTGCCACAAGGTCATCAGCCTCTCATAAGCTCAAGCACAATTTCTGCCGTACTTCTAGGTCACGTCATTCATACTTTAACAGGATTGTGAGACTGTGGAATAAACTACCCCAAATAGACCTTACTGAATCTCTGGCTACCATCAAAACTAAACTATGTATATTTCTCTGGAATCATTTTCTAGAGAACTTTGATTCAGCAAATCCATGTACTTTTCATTTTCTCTGCCCTTGTTCTTCCTGTCTTTATTAGTTGTTTACATTATTATTAATTTATGTGTGTGTATAGTTGTTTTTTTCTTTTATTTTATTTATTTTTTCTCTCCCTCTTTCTTTCTCCTCTCTCCTTGTTTGTACTTATGGCTACTCTAAATTTTTTGGAGTCAGACCCTCGACACTATCTAAATTCTATCTTCTCCTTGTCTATGTTTCTATCCCTGTTTTTTGTGTGTTGTTAAGCTATGATAATAATAATAATAATAATAATAATAATAATTTATGAGATAAGTTCAGTAAAAATAATGGCTTCTAAGTTTACTTCTCCGAGTTCTTTCTCTTCTTCTGTACCAGTAGATCCTCTGAATCAACTGACAAGTATATTCAATTGTTTATTTTTTATTAAATGACATTATTTAATAGTGGCTGATCTACCTGAGGTACTTCAATTACTCAAAAGATATGGTTATTTGGGAGTCGGTTACTATGATCTTGGTCTTAATCTTGGTCTGTCCACTGCTTCACTGGATGCTATTAAAGAGAATGAAAGACGTTTTAGCATGTCTTCGTGATTGTCTTAAAGTATGGTTAGGCAAAGGCCACAAAGCTGATATTGTTCAGGAGATTAAAGATGACGATCGTACTATCTATTCATTGGTATCAGCATTAAAGAGGATAGGAGAGAACGGAGTAGCTAATGCAATACATATGGAGAGTGAGTTTAATCATAGACCCTTTAGTCTATCATTTAATGAAAATGAGTATCTTATTGTATTTGTTTATTTATCTGTTTAGAGCATCTTGCTTGTAGAATTCTTGATAATTATTCCTCAAACCAATCTCTACTGTCTGTATTACCTGAGCTGGCTATACCTTTTTATGAAGCAAAACTGATAAATCAGACAATTTTTCAACCTTATAGAGGAGGAGAAGTAGTACTGGATCAAATAAAAACAGCAGTTTGTGCTGATTATAGAAACCTTGAGGCATTTGCTGATATTTTGTGTAAATTTACAGCCACTGCTGAGATAGGAGTTGCTATCATGAGAGACTACAGTAAGTACATGTATAGTCCTTTTTCACTAACGCCTTTTAATCATATTCATATTTTACACTACACCCACATTTAATTTCATAGCCATTTTGGGTGGCAAGATGGCATGGTGGAGATGGCAGAATGGAGTGAATCGAAGGAAAACTCACTTTCTAGAGCTAGTTTAGATGATCTAGCTATATCAATAGAAAGCCAAGGAACTGTCTTAACAATTATATGATTCCTGGATTAATAGACACTGGCAGTAAAGTGTAGGAGCAGCAAAAGCTCACTACAGTGAGTTGCTGCATCCAAGTATTTGTTGTTTCTAAGTATTAGAGTTGGTAATGTTGTTATTTTATACTTGTATATGACAATTTAATACTCAGAAACTGTTCCACAAACATTTTGAAGGTTTTCTTTATCTTAC